TTTTTTTATAAAGGCTGTTCTGTTGTATGGCCACCCATGTGAAGAAATGTAGAACAGTGTTGCAAAGATTGGGGTGCTCACAAGAAAGGTGCATGAACCCCCTACCACCCAGGACCATCGAGTCAATTCTGAATCATAGCAACCCTTTAGGGCAGAGGTTTCCTTAGCATCGAAGGGGTTTTTATTTGCAGTTGAATTATACAGAGATTTCTTATCAATCGTCACAAACATTGGGAACAAATTTTGCCCTTCAAAATGGAGAGGAGTCATGTCCACCAACAAATTCAACTGCCGTAAACACAATTTTACATGTGGCATGCTGGGGCTCTATTACAGGATTTAAGTTCCTCGTTGCAGATGCACTGAATGTGTCATCTTGTTGGCAGGGTCTTACTTGATGGCCAACACCAAGTTCACATCTCAGCCTGGCTACATTGGAAGGCTCTACGGACCCTCCCTGCCAGGAAACTTGCAGTATTGTTTGCGTTTTTACTACGCCATCTACGGGTTCTTAAAAATGAGTGACACCCTGGCAGTTTACCTCTTCGAAGAGAATCATGTGGTTCAAGAGAAGATCTGGTCTGTGCTGGAATCCCCCAGGGGTGTTTGGCTGCAAGCAGAGATCACCTTTAAGAAGCCCATGCCTGCCAAGGTACAGTAGACCTAGCACCGTCCTTCATCCTCTTCCCCTGGTCTGGCTTAAGAGAACAGTGAATCTCTGCCGAGCCCCATTCACCTGGTGATGTGTTCGTTGCTTTTGTTTGGCTCAGTCCTCACCCCACATCTGACCACCAGCCAAGCAAAAGGCATTTCTTTCATTTTGTTTTGTTTTCCATTTTTCGGTGTCTCTGAATCATGGCCACCAAGGGAGTTTGATGGTTATTGAATTCTTTGATTTCCTGAGAATGGCCCAATGACTGGGAATATAGAAAGAGTTCGTATGGAATGGCTAGCCTCATACTGAGGTGGAGCACACACAGACATGCGCAACTCATGGGGATGCTCATATAAAAAACAAAACCACTTTAATGGGGAACTCAGGGAGTCTGGTTTTACATGGTAGCGTTCAGGTCAATTACCAAGACGAATGGTGTAGTGCATTACACATTGGGCTGCTAACTGCAGTGTTTGCAGTTCGAAACCACCGGCTGCTCCTAGTGAGAAAGGGGAAGCTTTCTACACCCCTAAAGCTTTGTAGTCTCCGAAACCCACAGGGGCCATTCCACTCTGTCCTCTAGGGCCTCTGTGAATCAGAATGTACTTGACAGCCCTGAGGTTGGTCTGGGCTGCACACAGGAGGAAGCTTAGTGGTTTCTCAAAATACCTACTACGGTTTTCCTTGTCCTCCTAATTCAGAATTCGGGTCACTTCTACCCCGGCAGCATATTAATAACTGATTTTCCTGAGCCAGGTAATGAGAACCGGAAAGTAAAGTGGAATTAACAGGGGACTGGGAGCCAATAAACCTGGATTTCCTGGTCCTAGCTCGACAGCCTAAGCTGTAAGTGGCCGTTGGCTAGTTGGTCAACTATGGAAGGCCTTATGTCACCATCTTTCTAAGGTTAGTAAGTGGCAGCTCTACCCAATATTGAAGGCTTCCCTTTGAGGAGGATGTCTTTCGGTGTTCAAGGTCTTCCGCCTTGGGGAAGACCTTTTCTTGAATAATCTTGGGGACTGCCTACTCTTGAGCAGCTGGAGAAAGGCTCCCTTGACCTCCCTTAGCACCTTCGATCATTCCACTTTGTCCGTTGGGTTGCTCTGAGTTGGAAATGACTTGATGGCAGTGAGGTTTGGGTTTGGGTTTCATCGAGCGGGTACTCGCTGGAGACAACTGAGACATCCTTGTAGAAATGTGGGCCTAAATGCAGCTTATGTAGGGCAGACCCTTCCCTGCCTGTTTCCACATCTTCCTTCCCCCTTTCCCCTTTCCCCCCATGCCTGCAGCCAGAGCAAGTGTGATTGCTTCAAGCATAACTCCAAGGGAGCTAATGGCAGCATGCTCTCAGAAGTCTAGTCTCTGAGTTTTGACTACCTCTGTTAGACAGGGTTCTCTAGAGAAACAAAACCAGAACGCTAATAATTTTATATATATTTAGACAGATAGAGAGATAACATTAGAAATAAACAGTTGATAAAATTATAAAGCAGTACAAATGGCTCAGTGCAACTCACTCCCATGAGACAGTTGTGAGACACTGGCAGTCCTTCAAGTCTTGACGGCTGCCGGGTAGTCCACTGTAGAGCAATTCAGGCTATCCGGGCACAGGCAGCAAACAGCAAGGCAGGTCACCAACAGTCAGCCAGATGACAGGGTCCGACAGTCCCCAGCTCAAGAGATGTAAATTCCAATGGTGTGGCGAAGCAGGTCTTGAAGGTACCTCAAATTACAGCGACACAGTCCACAGGTTAGGTGTCCCACAGGTAGTGCAGCTTGCAAATTGAGGCACAGGACAAGCAAGGCAGCCGCACACTGGTCCGATGATCAAAGAGCAAGAGACAAGAAAGGCGAGACTCGCCGAGCCATGTATCTCTCCACCCTTCAATTAATCCCACATGTGTTTATTGGCCAGGTTGGCACAATAAACTAACTACCTCACTACCCCTGGACTGATCCTAGTGGAAATGTTTGGGGAATGCATTTGACTATCTCTATAGCACATTCTAAATTATAGCAACCACAAGCCCTTCAATCTGTGTTGCTTACTAGTCTAACCTGCTCCCCGCATAGTGTTTTCACCTCTCAGTGAGCCGAACCAGACCCCAGGAACTGCTGTGGCTAGTGTTGAGTGAGGGGCAGAACTATTAAGGAATCAAACTGACTTTTTAGCTACAAGGCCTTTCCCCTCTTTCTTCCTCCTCCTTTCCAGAACCTTCATGCCACCCCACAAGCCGATACTTTTCTTTTCCCTCTAAATATGTGCCCAGCTTATAGTAAGGACAACTGGTTGGTTAGACTCAAAACTCCCCACTGCCTTCCTTAAGTGGTCTGATGTTTGCCAGAAACTGCAACTGGGAGAAGGAGGGCTTTAAAAAGTTCGTAGAAAAACAGAATTGAAACAGAGTGGAGATTTCCCACAAACGTTTATGAAGCTCTCTCTTTTGAACCAGTGGTAAGGATTTCCCCATCTTAGACCATTCTTGCAAAGTAAGTGTGTAGAAAGATTCGCTTCAATGTTATCACCACTGCCAACAGCAGCAACGGGAACGTCGATCGAGCATTTAGAACGGGTGCTAAGCACTTCATGTGTGTTGCTTCATCTCAGGGCCACAGCAACCGAGGAGAAAAGCGTGGTAAGCCCATTTTACACAGAAACCTCAAGCAGGAAATTCAGGGTGTTGCTCAACACACACAGCTGGCGGGGGGCAGAGATGAGAAAGCAATCCAGGACTCTTGATACTTTATGCCTTCCAGCGCCTCCTGGTCAATACGTAAACTTATAGGAAGAGATGAGGAGGGGAGCCCAGCCCTAACTCTAGCTCTCAGGATTGCGAAACACTTATAGGACTGTGTTATTAACCTGCTGCTCTTGTATTGTAGAACTTTGATTCCTAGGCAGGGTCAAAATCAAGTGAGGTTCAGGGCATACAAGGCGAGCTGTGAGTTAGAGGCAAGATATAGTATAACCCTGATGCGAGTCAACTGGGGCATCTCCATCACTTAGAGCTTTGTCATCGGCGCTATTTCTGTAACTAAGCCCTGGTGTTGTAGAGGGTTACACTGGGTCACTCGCCACAAGGTCACGTGTTTGTCAGTTTGTTGTACTGTGATGTCATGCATGCATGCCATCACATTTGAATGTGATGCTGGCAAAGACTATTGAAAGTACCATGAACTGCCAAAAGAACGAACAAATCTTGTCTTGGAAGAAGTACAGCCATATAGTGAATGATGGGGGGAGTGCGGAGTGGAGATCCAAAGCCCATTAGTAGGCCACTGGAGATCCCCTTGCAGAGGGGTCTAGGGGAGGAGATGAGCCAGTCACGGTGCGATGTAACAATGATGAGAAATACAACCTTCCTCTAGTTCCTAAAGGTTTCCTCCCCGCTCCCACTACCATGACTCGAATTCTATCTTGCAAGACTGGCTAGACCAGAGGAGGTACACTGGTACAGATAGGAACTGAAAATACAGGAATCCAGGACGGATGAGCCCTATAGGACTAGTGGTGTGAGTGGCAAAACAGGGAGGGTAAAGGGAGAATGGGTAGGGAAGAGGGAACCGATTACATGGAACTGTGTGTGACCTCCTCCCTGGGGGACAGACAACCAAAAAGTGGATGAAGGGAGACATGGGACAGGGCAAGATATGATAAAATACCCATTTATAAACTATCAAGGGCTCATGCGGGAGGGGGGAGCGGGGAGGGAGGGGAAAAATGAGGACCTAATGTCGGGGGTTTAAATGGAGAGAAAATGTTTTGAGAAACGATGTACAAATGCGCTTTACACAATTGATGTGTGTATGGATTGGGATAACAGTTGTATGAGCCACTAATAAAATGTTAAAAAAAAGAAGTACAGCCAGAATAGTCCAGAGAAGCAAGGATGGCAAGACTTTGCCTCATCGACTTGGGACATGTTATCGGGAAAGACCCGTCTCTGGGAAAAGACATCATGCTTGGTAAAGTAGAGGGGCAGCAAAACAGGGGCAGACCCTCCACCAGATGCACAGCCACAGTGGCTGCACGGAGGAGCTCCGACCTGGCCGTTGTGGGCATGGCTCAGGACCAGGCAGGGATTCCTTCTGCTGCACAGACTTGCTGGTGTCCAACAACAGACACATGACCGACTGTTCATCATAGGCAAACATGAACAGCCTACAGCCATTGTTGTCAATATTTTGGAAACATTTTGAAAGGATGTGAATCGTGGTTGGCTTTCTTGATCTGGGTTTCCCCTTGTATTCTACTAGGCAGCGAGTCGGTAAGCAAGAGTCATCTGAGACTCCGCTTAGGGACCCTAGAGCGGTTAAGGAGGCAAGAGCACAATGCGCTCCACAGTGCTCCTCCTGAAAGCCAAGGCCAGGGGAGGTTAGAGAGCATCCCAGGAATCCCATAACCAAGGAGCACCAGCGGTAGGCATTCCAGTCCTTAGTTCAACAGTATGCTCAGCCCCTGTAGCACATGCATTAGGTGCTACCATGCCTCCTGGCCCAAAGCTTGTTTTCCTTTGAACAAAGGGCTTTAAGGATTCTGTTAATGAGAAGCCCCGAAAGGAACTCAATATTGTTTTCATTGGGGTGGGGTTAGGGGGTGTGAAATCACCCATAAATCAGAAAACTAACAGACATTCTGCCTCATTCTGGACTGACTAATGATCAGCTCAGACCTCATTAAAATGTTCATAGTAAACCCATCTACGTCTACCTCTTTACTCTGTTATATGGCTAAACATCAAATAAACTTCAAAATTCATTCCTGATGTGAAGATGAGTGAAAAGGCAGTTGCTTTGTTACATAATCTTTACCACAGTAAAAAAAAAAAATTAAGTCATTTATGGGTTTGCAAGGAAACGTCCATCTGACACTATGGAAAAAGATATATAGAAATAACTCTTTTTCAGCTTCAGGAATTGAGAGCTTTCAGGTCATCTTTTTGCAGAGAATGTCCTACTGGTGCAAATTTATTTGGAAGCTCCATGGGAAATGAATT